ATTTATCTATTCATTTATTTATTTTTTGGGTGGGGGAGGGGGTGGTGGCTAGAAGTTTCAGAATTCGTCCCCCGTTTTAAAAAAAAGTCACCTGTCTCAGAGGTTGATCACTAACGCGCCCCTGTTGGTACCGATGCAGCTAAATGAGGAGAGCGGCAATGAAATCGCATGCTCGTTACCAATGTAGCCGCATCTACGCATTGTGTGACTTAAATCTAGACAACAGTGGCGCGTAATTTGCACACCCTCCAGGCCCTAAACTAATACGGCGATGGCCACTACGGATGGGATCGGGCGATCGCTGGACTCGGTCGCCTCAAAAACAAACGTATTTGTTTTCAGTTTCACGCGACCGAGTCGGGCGATCGGCCCGATCCAGCCATAGTGGGCACCCCGTAAAAAAGCATACACCCCCCCCCAAAAAAAAACAAAAACACCACGCACACACTATGCTCAGGTATGTGAATGATCTAAACTATTCGATTACAAACACACAAAAACTCAGCAAAGTGTGTGCGTAAAGGGGGGGGGGGTGAGTTAAAGATGAAATTTCCTCTCGTAGAGTTGTGGCATCCTGGACGGAGGTAGGGAGGTTGGGTGGAGGCAAGTTCCGTTAAGTTTTCTTTTTTTTTTTTTGGAGGGGGGGGGGCGTTATGTCCTTTGCAGCGAATAACCAAACATAACTCAAAATATAATAATGACGTTCTTGATATTTTAAAACGCCTTAGAGACAGGTTAATTTGTGATATGTGAAAAGAAAATCTTAGCTTCGTAATTCACACACAGTTGTAAGTTCCGTCTGAAACTTAGAAACATCGACACCAACGAGCATAATATTATTATTGTGAAATAATATGCAAATTTGTACTTCTAAATATGTATGCACGATGGCTTAAATAAATGTGCCGCAACCAAATTCTCTTCGGTCTGCTGCTGTTTGGATCGACAGTCAGTCAGACAGACAGACAGACAAACAGACAGACAGACAGACAGACAGACAGACAGACAGACAGACAGACAGACAAGAAGATATAGATAGATAGATAGATGATTAGATAGATAGATAGATAGATAGATAGATAGATAGATAGATAGAAAGTGAGAGATAGATAGACAGATAAAAAGATACATCGATAGATAGATAAATAGATAGATAGATAGAGAGTGAAGATAGAAAGATAGATAAACAGATATTGAAGAGAAGCGAGTCAATGCTACTCACCTAGGCGAGACTTGGGCTGGTCCTCCTCACTTTGGAACATGTCCTGTGTAGCGGCAGCTGGGGCCGTCTCACGGCTGTCCACGTTGTGGAAAGTATTACTGGACCTGTGAAGAAAGCAACATGCCGCTCCTTGTAATCTTCACACAAACCAAACAAAAGCCCCCCCC